GACACAGAGGTCCAACCGCTCTTTATCGCTTTTTTTTTTTATTACGCCGAGAGTATTTATTTCATCGAAAAATTTATGAGAACATTTTTCGCCGGTTTAATTATTTTTAAACATTTTTTCTTGAATAAACTTTCTCTTCAAATCAGCCGGTTCTGAGCTCTAGTGGCCTAAACAATTAAATTGTTAATAACAATCAAATTTATTATCGGCGAGCGAATATCTGTGTTTATCGTAATCCACGGCAAATAATACGTAAATATTTGACATCAGAACCGGGGGACTTTGAAGGACATACGTGCTTTTCTCTTTAGCCGAGGGACTAATAGCGTGTAGATGTTTTTTTTTTAATTATTTATAATTCCCTCGCAACTAGTTATAAGTTCATACCAACGCCATCTGAGAATCAGTATATACGATATTAAAACTTATTTAAATTTACCGCTCGCGGAGGAATACAAGTTCCGAGTCCTGGGTTGTTAACGCATGCGCAGTGAATCAATATATAAAAGAGGTGATAAATCCCGAACAGTTCATTCTCTTGGTGGGACGACTATATATAAAGCACAACCTCACGCGCTTCGCGCTATGAGGCGTGCAATTTGAAGGAGATTGCCCGATTATTTAAATAAATAATTAACTTTAAAGTTGAACAATTTAACATTGGTCTTATGGGGTAACCTCTAAACATTGATACATTTCTGTATTTTTCTCGTAAAACTGTCGGTGAATATTTTTAAAAAACTTATGGATGAAAGTTAATATATTTGTGATAAATTTAATTCAAAAAAATTTACACTTGCCCGACTAATTAACGTGTATTAATTAAAAGAAAAATAAATGCCGCCATTATATTAGCTAATGTTAAATGTATATCTATATATTAAGAAAAATCATATTATATATATATGGTTACTGCTTTCCCCTTACCGCGCTAGAGTTGATACCTATCCTCACCCCGCCTGGCGCTCGTACTTCCTTAAACTATTTGACTTTTAAATTTTTAATATAACTTGCATAATATTGTTGTGATTTTATTTTTGTAGGATACGATGCATTAGAATGGCAGTATCGATATTCAAAATATTCTTTAAGTATTTAAGATAAAAGACCCAGTTATTGACACTGGCCTAGTTATTGACACTTGAAATTTTATTCTAATTAAAAAAAATAAATCAACTCTAATGAATTAATAGAATTAATCCAGACCCTGTCATTGATAAATTGTCTCCATCTGATATTTCGACTGCTGTACTTAACTATTTAAGTCTACCTAGTTTAGCAGGTGATGTCCTGGCCACTCGAAAATTTGATAGCAAGACGAAGCGAAACACAATCAATCCTGGAAATCAACAAACACCTACTACGCACTCGTTTCTTGTTTCATTGAAATCGTCCCAAGTAAGAGACTTCATAATAGACACCAAGCGTAAAACGAGGCATCTTTTAGTTAAGGATATTTTCTCGGGCGTTATTGACAACAACTGCAGAGGGAGTATTTACATTAATGAATTTCTACATCCAGAAACTTACAAACTACTACTGAAGACCAAGGAAAAGGCCAAAGCGTTGGAGTTCAAGTATGTCTGGGCACGAAGTGGGCAGATCTTCGCAAAAAAAGATGATAATTCAGATAAACTTAGTATTAATTCTGTTCTTGATCTTTCTAAACTGGAATGACGCTAAAGTACCTCAATAAAAACCTCTTCAAACAAAATATCTTCACCATTAAATATATTAAGCTTAAATATAAATAGTCTTGTGGGTCATATAGCTCAATTTTTAAACTTAGTGCATGAAACTCATCCTGATCATATAATCATTTTAACAGAAACTTGGTTAAAACCAACACTCGACAATAACATTTTCTTACTAAATGGATACACAGTTGTTCGTAGAGACTGAACCTTAAGACATGCTGACAATCAACGCTATATCAGAGGTGGTGGAGTAGCTTGTTTAATACATAATTCTCTTAAAGTTAAAGTATTGCACATTTCAATGTCCGACCATTTAAACCAGCCTGAATTTCTGATAGTTGATGTAACTCTATCAACTGGTTCTCACCTCTTGCTATCATGTATTTATAGACGACCTAAAGGAATGTTTCTTACTGAATTTTTTGATATATACTCTAAGCTTGCGCCTAACTTCAAGAATATCATCATAGCAGAGGACTTGAACTGCAACCTTCTTGAGAGCTCCTACATCACGAATCACTTGAGAGAGTTCATAACTGAGTCCTCTCTTTACTGCGTGCCTTACGGCCCTACATTCCATAAAAATGGCTGTCATTCCTGGCTCGACGTCATCTTGATTGATAGTACAAGTTAGTCTCTTTCACAAAATCTGACTCCCCATTCGTTGATGGCCATGATTATTTACTATGTCAATATAAAGTAGAGCAACCGCAGCAGATGAGTAAGAAGGTAACTTTCAGAAACTTAAAAAACTGTGATCATAATTCACTGTCAGATTGTTTGTTTAATTCTCTAAAGATTGATAATGCTATATTGGAAAATTCAGATCCAAATGAACTTTTATCGATCTTTAAATCAAATGTGCTTTCTTCTCTGGACCAACATGCACCAATCCTCACAAGAACGATTTCTCGATGCAGTAATCCTTGGTTCACCAAAGAACTAAAAAATAAGTGCAAAGAACGAGATGAACTTTACAAACGAGCTAAAAGAAACCGTGATCCAACCTTGCTTTCACTATATAAAATCCAACGCAAACTTCTTAAGACTGAATTAGCCCGAGCGCGAGAATTGTACTTGAAGAGTGCTCTATCCATCAACTTGCCTCAGGATTCTTCTGTCTGGTGTAAACTTAAACATCTAGGACTCACCAAATCGAATCCTTCGTCACCCCTAAACTTCTTTGATGCGCAGGAATTAAATGAGTACTATGCAAGTGTAGTCAGGAAACATCCAGCTGCAAATATTGAGTTCTTAGATAGTTTACCAACCATTTCTCAACGCCAAGTGGACTGTTCATTTCAGTGGCAGAAGATTGACATCGTTGATGTCACAAAGGCTCTTGTACTAACTCTGTCGAAATCTAAAGGAAATAGCCCAGATGGTTTAGATTTGCGGTGGCTAAAAGATCATCTTCCTCAAATATCACTGTTTCTTACAGCTCTTTTCAACAGATCTCTTGACACCGGCATCTTTCCTGAAATTTGGAAAATGATTTATATCATACCACTGAACAAGATAGCCTTACCCAGATCACCATCTGATACAAGACCAATTGCAAACCTATCTCATTTAGCGAAAGTTTTTGAGAGAATAGTTGCAAACCAGCTGGTAACTTACTTAGAAGACAATCTTTTGCTTGATAAGCTTCAATCGGAATTTCGGAAGCATCGTAGTACGCAATCAGCATTGCTCAAGCTTACTGACGACGTCAGAGCAGCAATGGACAAAAATCAAGTTACCATTCTAGTGCTGTTTGATCTGAGTAAAACCTTTGACTACGTGGATCCCAAAGTTATTCTAATCTCTTTACATGAGTTGGGATTCTCATCAGAAGTAATAAGTTGGTTCTTTTCCTATCTTTCTAACCGTTCTCAATCCTTTCTAAATGAGCATGGAATTCCAATTGAATTATTAAAAACCTCATCAGGTGTTCCTCAAGGCTCTGTACTTGGGCCAATATTGTTTTTAATTGTCATCAACTCTGTGGCCAGGTGGATAATCTATTGCAAATATGGTCTGTTTGCTGACGACGTGTACATTTACCATCATTGTCTTGCTTACCAGCTCCAGGATGCAGTTCAACAAGTGACTGCTGACTCACAAGCGATTGCAGACTGGGCTCGGTCTCACGGCTATTAAGCCGTTAATCATTAGATTAACTTGACTAAGACTAAAGCGATGATCTTGGGTTCTAATGGCAAGTTGAGACAACTTCAGTCCCTGGAGGTTCCTCCTATTCTAGTTGATAATACAGTAATCCCCTACGTAAATTCTACAAAGTGTTTGGGACTTATTATTGATCAAAATTTATCCTGGAATAGCCACATTTTACAGATAATCAGAAAAGTAAATTTTGCACTCCATAGTCTCAAGGTCCGGAAAAACATCTATTCTACTGAGATAAGAAAGCTCCTAGTTGCTGCTACCGTACTACCACTCATTGATTACTGCTCTATTGTACTTATGGACTCTACTGCCGAAAATGATCTAAAACTTCAGCGAGCAGTAAATTCTTCCATCAGATTTATTTTCAATATCAAAAAAGATGAGCATATTAGTCCTCATCGCAAAGAGCTAGGGTGGCTTACAATCAAATATCGTAGATTGTATTATGCGATTTGCTATTTATACAAATTACTCGAGAATGGAAAACCGGAATACTTGCGCGATTTATTCGTTGAGGAAGCTGATGTTCGACGTTCAAATCGATTGGCTGCAAAAAAACACACCACCTTCAAACTACCCCTTTTTACTACAAGTTACTTGGAGAAATCTTTTTTGGTAACTGTAATAAAGCTTTGGGAAGAACTCCCACGTGAAATTGTAAATTCGAGTAGCTTACAAGTCTTCAAAAAAGAAGTATTTAATTATTTATTAAATCTTGATAATTAAAACAAATTCTAATAAATAACAAATTTAAATAAATTCATTGAAAATTAAAGCTTGAAGTAAGAATGAAGAAATTGCGATTCGGAAGATTATTATGCTGAGTTATCATTTCTATATATTAAGTTTCAAGTTTAATATGATTTTTTTTATCTTGTTTACATATAAATAAATTAAATTAATAATAGTGCAATATTATATTATATTATGTACTCACAGAAATTGCTCTCTTGTAAAAATTGTATTTACTATGTAATTGAAGTTGCAATTTGGCCTGTGCCTTGGCATTAAATGAATAAAATCTAAAATCTAAAATCTAAATCTAATAAATACAATTTTTGAATTATAAATTTTAAGATAATTGATTTTTTGAAAACATTTTTTTTTTTTTATTAGAATAACATTGAAAGGGTCAATAATTAGGTCTTTTAATTTAATTAATTAATTTATTATTATTTTATCATATACCTACCCTCTGTACTCTAATATAGGTAATGGTAAATTCTGGTACGACTCTTTTGAATAAGAATATTGAATCGACTCACAATTAGTGTCTTGTCCATTAATTTCTTTTATAATTACAGGCAAATTATCACTCAAGAAAATAGAATTATGTGGATTAACAGCAGACTGACTTGAGCTTGATGATGGATAAGAAGATTCACATGTCGATTGATCAGAACTTTCCGAAATTATGGAATCAGATGATTTTTCTGACTTTATGTTTCCTTTATTGCTTACATTACTCTGCTGATTATTATGCATATTCAATTCTTTAAAGTTAGGTAAAACATTTTCTTCCTGTTCCTCTCCATACTTAATATCACAATTATTTTTTTCTTCAAAGGAACTTGAACTGAACTTCATTAAATCGGATTTACTATTGAACGGAAACTTTGATACATTTTCGGCATGAAATTTTTCTTCTTCATAAACGTACTGTGAGTTATCATTATTTATCGACGGCGCTTCATAATTTTTTTTTTTGAACGTGCTGGTATCCATTTACTTAAACAGTAATGTGATTCTCGGGAGTTCCCTCGAAATTTACAAAAAAATCAATGGGCGCTGCTGGACCATTTTGGGGCCGTTTGGGTGGCTCTTCGTTCAGTACTCCAATATCTAGATAATCAGCCGCTCTGAATAGTTCAATTTGAATTAACAAGTTTATTAATTTTCGTATCGTAGGTCTTTTACGTCCCATGGTCGACCATTCATCCAAAAAAATCTCAGCTGGTAGTCGATGTAGTTTTAGTCCCGTTGATTCAATAATACTGAAATTATTAATTATTTAATAAGCGTACTTAAAAAATATTTATTATATTAAAATATTAAATTATGAAAATTAAAAAAGCTGACTTTTAAAAACTTTTATAATTATTCTTATTGAAGAAAATATTACAATAAAATTAAAAGAAAAAATTCCACTTATAGAAGATTTGAAAAATTGTACCTGTAATTTTTTTTAAATATTTTTTTACTTGTAATTTAATTGTTGAAAAAATTCGTCAGCTAATTTTAGTATCATTATTGAAATTAAAAGACACTTAACAATTTGTTTTAAATAATAAACTAGGTTTAGAAAATGATTCATAAAAAATTACACACATGATTTTTTGAAGCTTTTAAAGATGGAATTTTTTTATGACAATAAAGTTAGCCGACATTTAAAAATTTTTAGATTTTTTTTATTGACAAAATTATTACAAAAAAATAAAAAAAAAATTTTTCACTTGTAAAAAACTTTAAAAACTGTAAATGCATTTTTTTAAAAATATTTTTTTCTTCTAATATAATTATAAAAAACAAATTAAAACCGTCGGCTAACTTTAACATCATAATTTTTTTAATTCATTTTTTTTTGCTATAATTTATACCTTGAAAATTTGTTTAAATTGTTTGGTCTCTCAATTTCATAACATTAAAGTTAGCAATCATTTGACTATTTTTTAATTTTTTTATCCAACAAAATTTCTTCTAAAAAATTGCATTCTTTTAAATTTGTACATGTCAATTTTTTTTGCTCAAATTTATTTGTTTTTTTTTAATTCACTTTTTTTTTGCTATAATTTATACCTTGAAAATTTGTTTAAATTGTTTGGTCTCTCAATTTCATAACATTAAAGTTAGCAATCATTTGACTATTTTTTAATTTTTTTTATCCAACAAATTTCTTCTAAAAAATTGCATTCTTTTAAATTTGTACATGTCAATTTTTTTTGCTCAAATTTATTTGTTAAAAATATTATTAAAATGATCAAATATCTGCTAATTTAATTTTCATCTCGATTTTTAGGTAGATTTCATAAAATCTATCTATTGCATTTGCCCTTGTGTCAAAATTCACACAGAATTTCGTTACTATATCAATTATTTAGTCGAGTAAGGCTTAAAAATGACGTTGGTTTGGAAGTTTATATATGTAACGCACAGCTTGTGGACACGATAACTCCCACAATTCTTAATGAATCTTTATGAAAATTGGTAGACTTATTCTATAGACAATTAGCTTGGATGAGTTCAAAAATGAGCTAAATCCCTCAAATAGTTTAGAAATGGCAGCCATTTGAAATTTTCGAAAATCTAATAAATCACTGTATTTTATTTTAAAATTTGGCAGCCGATTTACTTTTCTGATAAACTTGAGGAATAATAATTATTCATAATATCGTAATTAAAATCATTGATTACATGAATTCTACCTTCCATCTTGGCTGGTGCCAAATGGCCTTTTTTTTATTATATAATAATAATAATAATAATAATAATAATAATAATAATAATAATAATAATAATAATAATAATAATAATAATGCATTTGATGTTTATTATATACTCACTTCCAAATTTGTAAATCATCCCTCGCCACGTATCTGACGGAGTATCGACGATCATGTTCATGGAGGCGCAAGCGAATTAGCTCCTTATCCTCCTCGTAGGTCCCTGTGAATAAAAATTAGTCAATAAATAAATAATTATTAATTTTATTTCAATTAAAAAATTTGATAAAATTAAAAATAATTATTCAACTTACATCTACTCAAATCATGGCACCAATCAATCTCCCGGGGATACATGATGCTTGCTTAATTAATGATCTGTAAATGACAAACGAATTTTTTAGACGTTAATATTTTTTTTAAACAAATGACTATTTTATTTCATTGTTACGTCGCGGGAATTATCAGACATGCGCAATCATGACGTCTAAACTCGGTAAAAATGGCCCACGATTCCTTATTGGTTAGAATTAAGGCGCGTACTATTTAAATTTGTAAATGTAAATTCAGGTCATAGATTAGTTTTTAATTTAAAAAAATTTTTATACAAAATTTAAATTTTTTTGATGGAAGATTATTTTTAATTATAAAATTTTGAATAAAATTTTTTTGCTTTATTTAAAAATTTAAATTTAATAGATTTATCAAGGAGTTTTTTGTTCATAAAAAAAAATTGACTAAAATTGACACTTTTTTTTAATTCTAAAAAAAATATACGACAGAGCAATTTTATTACTGAGAGAAAAGAAAATTATTTTAATAAAAATTTTAAAAAATAAATTATCAAAAATATATATTGCCTCATATAATAACACAACTAACAAATTTTGATATCTGATTTTGTTTAATATAATTGAGTTTTTTAAAACTTTAAATAAATTATTTTTTTTTTTTTCATATATTTTTTTGCTAAAAAATCTTCTATATTTATATCAAATCTTTTGCCAAAGTATGAACGCTTTTTTTATGAGAAACTTTTTAAAGAAATCTTTTTAGTACAATATAAAACTATTTTTTTTTTTTTAATAAAACTGTAAAAAGAAATAATATTTATTCAATTATTTTTATTATACCTGCTGCACTCCTCGTCAGTCGTGTGAATCTTGGTGGTAGACTTGGTTTTCTTGGTTTTCTTGGTGGTTGCAGACCACTGCATTTAAACGATTTTGGCACACTACCGCTATTGCTTTGAAATAATAAATTCCGTTTGTGCGATACATCTGTAGTACTAAGTAGTATTTCGGCCTGATCAGGGTAATGATCTCTGAAGGCCAAAAATTCTCTAATAAAATAAATAAATCTTGTAATGTAAATGTTAAAAATTTAATATACAAAAAAAATTACTCATTTAAAAATATAATTACGTACTATCTTGTATGAAACGTTGCTTTGGCATTAGGATCATCAATTCCTTTAACAATGGCATATTGTACTTTTTTCATATGCTTTTGTATTAATTGAGTTGACCAGATCTGCAATATTAGCTTAACACATTCACTCGTAGCTCTCCGTATATCTATACTTTTACTCGATAAAAATGGGGTAAGTATTAACAAAATCTTGCACTGTGTGTATGTTGAAATATAAATGGAAATGCTACTGCTCAGGATGATGATATAATCTGAACAAAAAAAATTTTATTTAATTAAATATTAGTAATTATTTCTATTTGTTATTTATAATTGCATAGTAATTACCATGGCACTATTTTTTTATAAAATTCATTACTGGTCTAACCTTGAATAAACGGAGCAATCTAATTTTTATTTAACAGTCGACTCTAATAAGCGAGTCAAATAGTATTTAGCTTCTTTGACTACTTAAGATCTCAAATTAGTACAAGCACCCTCAAATGATAACTGTAAACCTTTCAACAACTCCAATAACTTCTAGTAAGATGCTCCACCAGCCATTATTAAGCCACCATATTTTTTAGCTAAAAAAAAAAGTACCATTAATTATATTGAAATATGAGTTAAGTTATAAACAATAAATTTTAATTCTTGACTTAAATATTGTTTGAAAGGAAATTAATTTTTAAGTTAATATTAAATAAGGCACTTAAATCGACGCTGTGGGACTGTAAGGGGCCTTACATTCATGCTACGTGAATTTATACAATTTAAAATTTTTTTACGAGTGAATAACCAGGTCTTTAACATAAAATTGACGATTTCTATATAGATGAATAACAATTTCACAAATTTTTTTATAATAATATTCTTAAACAGCCGTTATTTTAACATTTGTTTACACACAAACATTTTATTATTTGACAGGTTTTAAAAATGGCCTGCCGTCTCGGTCACGCCGCCATCGGCCAGAAGTTCAACGAAATCGCCCAAGCGCCAATCAACGGAACGAAAGAAATATATATATATACATACTTACCAATACCTATATATGTATGTTTATAGATATATACAAAACCGATACATATATATATATATATATATATATATATATATATATATATATATATATATATATATA